ATGACAGAACTGAGGCCTTAACCTAATGCTCAGCGCTGTTGCACCTACTCTCCTCACCGTGGTACTTCCCAACACAGCCACAGTTCCTTCACCCACCAGCAGAGTTCAGGCAAAAACATCTCATGGTACAAAACCAGAGCAAGAATTCACGAGCCCTCAGAGAGGCCCTTGTGCTCCTGCCCGCCTGAGGCGCCGCGTGCACGCCCCCGGGCCGGGCGTTCCCCTCACGGCAGCTCCGTCCCCGCTCCCGCCCGCACGGCTGAGGCACCGAGCCTCGGCCGGGGCACTCGGGGCTGGCCCCGAACCGGCCCTTTCCTGCCAGGGCCCGCCATGCCTTCATTCACACTTCTGCCCACAAAGGGCACCGAAAGGTGCCGAATCCACCAAGGCAGGCGGCGCGACTGGCAAAACTTTCCACTCTTTACACCTTTCAGCAAACAAAGGCATTAACCTGCACTTACGGTTCCAAGCAAGGTACATAGTTCTCTTATTGACTACTATTCTGTCTTCTATCGCTTAACGAGTCTCTCGCTTCTCGTGCTAATTACTGCCCTGCTCTATCTCTCTCCTCCTTTGGCTCGGTGCTTTCCTGTGTGGGGGCTCCATCACTTGGGGGTCCTGATCTGCCCCTGCCGGCATTGCCCTTTAGCCAGGCCGAGCTGGTCCCACACCGTTGTCGAGTTCCTTTATTTGTCTCTTCCTTATCTGGGGATTCTGCCCGATGTCCTCGTGGCCCAGGAATTCTGCATTCCGCGTGGATCAGTGGAAATCCTTCTGGCCGAGCTTTGTTGACCTCGCCCGGGGCCGAGATCATTGGAACATGTCCGGCCCCAAACCTTAACAAGGCAACTCTGCTGAGCGGGAATTTGTGTTTCGAGCAGCTGGACATCACTTAGCGCTTGTGGCCTGCTCTGTTTCACGGATTAAATCTCCCTCCTTGTTGATCAGGCTTGAATGGGACAGAGATCAAACGGCAAAGATCATCCTAGCGCAATGAAAATTTCCCTATTTCGCATTTAGCAACAAAAGGATCAGAGAAGCAGGAGTGGCACAGAACAAACACATTTGGTGACCACCTTGGAAAGGCAATTAGAGTAATTATGGAACATTAATACTCTTAAAAAGAAAATACTAAGGCTTTTATAGACAGAATGTGAAAAACAGAACAGCAGCAGCTCTTGCTGAGTATTACCACTAAATATACTGCTAAGAATTTCTTCCAATATAGGTGCAGCTGGGAATCTATACCAAGTCACCACGAACACTAAAGCTATGAAATAAAATGAGGTTTGGCCCATAATGTAAGGATCTGTTGCTTAAGTGTAGCCTTTGCTGTTATTTCTTTCTCAGCTGTTTGTCAGAGTACCGGTCTCTATATTGGGGGTTTGTTTAAAATCCACAGAGGGACACAACACTTCCTCTCACACAGTCAGAAACTGCTTTGTTATCATGTGTGCCTAATAAAACAGCTGCCTTCTACACAGGAGTTATACCTGTGGCTTTGCATTCCCAAACACAGGGCATTTCTTCTGTCCTGGTCAGATAATGATTTTTTGAATGTACAAGGACAGACACATTGATTCAACAAACCAATAATGGGCCTAAAGGTTATGTCAGACCAAAACAAGGGAAGGGGTAAGAAAAGCGTGACACAAGTTGAAGGAATTTTGCTGCAATCAGCTGTTACTAATTATAGCATCTGGTGGTTTTCACAAGTTATGGAACATGCACAAAAGGGGGTGGCCAGGTAGTGTAGATCTCACTGCTTGAGGTCCACAGGTGGGCAAAAGCAAGTGAACCCAGAGGTGAAGAGGAGGAGGAGGAAGAAGAAAGAAGAAGCCTCCTCCAAAGGGTCAACAGCTGCAGCAGGAGCTTGGGCTGTCCCTGTGAGAGCCCCCCTTGGGGTGCTGTGGCATGTGAGAGCTGGGCACCAGTTAAAGGGGTGGTAGTGACAGTAGGGCTGGTTGTTTGTTTGTGCTCATGAGGAGAGCTCCCCTGGCTTGCTGGATTCCCACATTGTTCCTTTGTAGCTGCTGCTCGTGTAACTTGGCAAAAAAGCCACTTCAGTGCCTGTGTGCCCGGACCCCTCGCACAGCTGTGGGAGGCTGGGGGTGCACACTCTGCCTGTCAGCAGATCTTCTCTCTGCTGCTGCTGAGCCAACAGCGTGCAGGGAACACCAGCAGCCTCTGCTCCCCCCTCTGCCTCTGTGCGTGTCTGTCCTGCCAGCACTGCGTCCTCCCTGCAGCCACTGCACTGGGAATTTGCCAGGAAGGGTTGAAGGACACACAGTCACAGCCCAGAAGAGTTCCTGGAAAGAGCCTTAAGCCTCAGGTCCTGCACAGAAACCTGAAAGATTCATACCTGAAACCATTGAGATGGAATAGAGAAACTGGGCACATTTCTGGCTTCTTGGGTGTGACATAACCTCTCAGAATTAGCCTCTGTCAATTAGGTGAAAGCAAAGCAAGTTCCAAAAAATCAAAGCAAGATTTATTTATAACAATTCACAAACCAATACAACAAATAAAGATTTCCTCTCCTCTTCTGTGAGATGTCAAGCCCACCTCAGAGATGTAGCTTGATGGATGCTCTGCTGCCTACAAGCAACTTCCAGTTAAAGAAGGCAGAAGGGGTCTCTAGGAAGGACAACTGACCATGCTCTTCTGAAAGAAGAGGGGAATAGGCACATCAAACAGTCTGACACTCATGGTACATTCTGTATAGATAAGTTTTTACAGATTTCAATTCATTTTTCAATTTTTTCAAATTCAGTGTTTTTCTGGATCTCAGAGCTATGCATCAGAAACAAGGACACACATTCTGTGTCTCAGACTCCAACAATTTCTTACAGATTTCAATTCATTTGCCCATTCCCAGCTCATTATTCAGCTTTAATATGCACTAAGTAGGTACTATGGTCTGTTTGGACCTGGAAAGACTCGGTGGGGTTTCTGCTTGCGTCATTAAATAGTGATTTTTAGTCTGACAAACATTCCAAATGGCCCTTGTTTCTCTCCTTTCACTGTGATTGGGACAGCAGATGACAACTGTGAGTTAGAAGGTGACTATTACTCTGCATCCTGACAAACTCATTTTGTTTGTCTTTCCTTTGGCTTTTAAAAGCAAACTGAACCCCCCACAGCACTTATAAATCTATGTAAATATAAATCTTATAAATCTATGTGTTTTCTCTTTCCAGTCTGGCTTTGTTTCATGAGTTGTGCCCAAAACTCCATTTTGTGTTCTTTCAGTTTCTCTGCTGCCTTTTGCTCCAGGTCTATTCCCAGGTATTTTTCCTCCAGGCCATACTGGGGCCAGTGGACCAAGCCCTCTCCGTTGGGATTTCTGGAAATAACAGAAGGAAAAGTTAGCTCTCCGTTTGCCAATCCATTGCTCTCTGAGTGCTCAGGTTCAGAGCATTCCAGAAAACCAGCAGGAGCCCAGACTATGTGATTCTGGTACCTGAATACATGGACAGTACTTGATGAAAAAGCTCCTCAGTGGAAGAGCAAAAGTGTAATAGTTGTCATTAATTTTAGATCTAAACCACCATTGCAGATGGAGTAACAGCTCTTAGATTTTTTTGTTTTCTCATGTCTGCAGGTTCTTTTAAAAGACCATGAAGAAGAGAAATTGCTTCAACATTTATCTTCAATTCTGCCAAATTTCTAGGAACCACCATGTAGGTACTGCTTCAGGCAGGTAGGTGTGTTCTGGGCAGCACAGACAAAACCTGAGCTGTAATTAGCATTGTGGTTCTCACCCATTTTTAGCAAAGTTGGTCCAGTATCTCATAACAGTTCTGCTCAGTTTATTTTCTTCTTTTGTAGCACCTCCTGAAACGGGAGAGATGAAACGGCCACATTAGAAAGTAAATAATTGGAATGAGCTCTATCAATTGCAACACTTCTACTTGTTGCCCTGAGCTACTGGAGTGTTTTCTAGGAGAGAACATCAGATGAATGAGGGAATGAAAAGTATCTGCTAGTGAGGAGAGAAAATGTTTATGCTCATAATAATGTCTATGATATATAAATTATGCTTATAATATATATCATGCTTCTAATGCTTATAAGAGAGAAGTTCTATTCTAAAGACCTGCAGTAATTAAAATGAGTACTAAAGAGGTTCTAAAAGGAATATGGAGTAAGCATGGGTACATCACCAGCTAAGAATGGCTTTCCAAGGACAAAGGCAATCTCAGCTCCATGATCTGCTTTGACAAACTCGGGTACCACACCTTCCACTGAACTTGGCTCGATGTTGGAATTCATAAAAGTAGACTGGGTTGCCAGCATCTAGAGGATACAGAGAAGTGCTGGTTTGAGAGCTGAAAATACCTGCCCCAGGGATGATAAAGGTTCCTTAGAAGCTGTTTTGGTTGAATGGAAACACTGCCAGTTGTCTGGGTAGTGAAAAGTGCTGCACACTGCCCACACCATCCCCAGACAGAATTCTACAGTTGTTCTGTAGAAGCTGCTGAGTTACCCCTGTGGTGTCTGGCCACTTCCACAGATGAGATGACAAAGAAGACATCTCCCATTGCATCCAGGAGCCCATCTCGGACCTGAGCAGGGCTTTCTGCATTCCCCATGTACTCCTTGTACACTCTGTCAACAACTTCAGATGTAATACCCTGAGACAGCAATAAAAAGCACTTTAGAATGATGATGAACAGTATAAGGACTAAGAGCAGTGAGTCTGTGGCATCTGCACATCCCTGGCTAACCCCAAACATCACCTTTCAGAGAAAATCCTCAGCTGTGTCAGAGCGTGGCTCAGAGCTCAGGACTGGAGTTACACAGCTATGGATACAGGTGATCTCAGGGAAAAGGGGGATGCAAGATCTAAGGATCCAACACCTCTGGATAAACAGCAGTCAGTGAAGCAGACTGTTCTCCCTTCTGTGGAAAGAAGCCTCCTAACTGCAGAGAAATCCTGCTGGGTTTTAGGAGGTTGTGTCCCATTGGTCT